AATCCCCACCGCAGTTCCACCAAGTTACCGCCGCTGCTGCGAGTCACAACATCCAATTTCGCCAATTTCCGTCAATTATCGCTAATTTCCACCAACCGCCTCCGATTTCTTCACCCTCTATCATTTTTTGCAATTTTGGATTTTAATTACACTATGCCAGATTATTTATTGTTTATATTTTGAATCTGATGGCTAAACGGGGAGAAATATGTCCGGCAAGTGTGAATCTGAACAGGCCGAGATCGCCGGTGAACATCCATCGGAGGATGTCCGACTTCATCACTTTGAACATGACATCCTAGCTAGTGCTCGCAGCGTCGGTCGCCTTCTTCCTAGTGAGTGGCAACGATTTACGAGATTTACAAATTTGGGAGTGAGGGACAAATTTGTGAAAACAAGTCACTGGGTTTTATTTGTAATTTTAGAAAATATAACTATATTACAATTTAGCAACACAAAAAACTCTCTCTCATCACCCGAAAATCCCCAAATCTAAACACCAAAACCCTCATTGTCGTCTACCTTCTCTGCGGGACGTGCGGCGCCGCGGCAGCGGCGGCGGCTAGCTTCTCCAAAGCTTTGCTCCCAGCGCATCGTCGAGTTGTGGCCCCCTCAGCTGGAAAGATTTCACCTTTTCATGGGTCGCCTTCTAGCGTCGAGGCGGGCTAGGGGTCGGGGGGCGTGGTTGGGTGGCTTATTCTTATCGGTGTGACGCAGTGGTCGGAGTGGAGTTAAGCTCTTTCTCTCCCCTTGCTTTCCGGTTCTCCTGTTTAAGCGTTGTTTTCACCGACGGTGGCACCGTTGGTTGTTGGTTTAGGCCGCCGGTGGTTGTAAGGGTGGAAGTTCTCGGCCTTTTGTCTCTCTTCATCCATGTTTCCCCTATCGTCATGGTTAGGGCGGTAGGGCACGCCGGTATGCGTAGTTCAGTGCCTCTGATGACCCGTCGGTTTTTGGTTGCCGGTTAGTAGGGGGAGTTTGGAGCTGGTCTCTAGCTTTGGTCCAAGGTAGTCTTCTCGGGCGAGGGTTTGGGCATTGGCTCGGCTCTAGCTAGGAGTAGCTTTACTACAGTTTCTGGTTCGGAGCTTTGGTCTATGTCCCTGTCCGATTTGGGAGGTTGCCATCGGTTTCAGCTTTGTGGTTGTGCGGCGTCGGTTGTTGCCTGCGGAGGAAGGCTTTAGTCTAGTATTTTGTTTGGTTTTTGAGTGTTTTGTGTCTATGTGGTGTTTGTTTGTGTGTTGTTTTGTGTATTGTGTTTTGTGATCTCCTTTTTTGGAGAAACTTGTTTTCTCCTTTGGGGAGTTTGTGTTATTCTCCTATAGGGAGTTTTTATTTTTTTGGTTTGTTTTGTAGTGTGTGTGGTGGTATCTAGACTGTCTTTGATAGTCTTCCTAATCCGACTAGTGAGTCGGTTGTAATTACGTGTTTAGTGAATGAATTATGCAGTTTCGAAAAAAAAAAAAAACTATATTACAATTTAGTTCTTATGCCAAATCTTTAGTTTTTTCTTAAAAAAAATTATAAATGTACCTAAATAAATTGCACAAATATACTATATTCAATAAACACAAATGCACAAACGAATGATTAATTTGATTGATTAACCAACTACTTCAATTAACCAAGAACTGCTTGACTAGTCAAAGAATGATTAATCAGCTATTAAAAAAAAAATAAAAATTAACCACGTTGGCCATGAAACCAGCGATTTTCCATATGATTATGCCTCAAGGTAACCTTTTGTTTCCAAGAATGAAACCACTTTTTCAGCCTGAACAGTTGGACTCTCACAACTTCCTTCTCTTTGTTGCAATACTATCTGGTAAGTCAACATCCTCATAAGTTCTAATAGTATCAAAATTACATCGGACAAAAGGGAAAATAAAACAATGACTAGCGACGAGGGCCATATTGTCGAATATTTTTCAAAAGATTATGCATCTTAAGGATGCTTAGAGGGTGACATTTCAGTAAAAATTCAACTAATCAGAGCACAAGCACTTCATATTCTTTACAACGACATGCATGACTGAATATACTAATCAACATTTATTGCCCCATGAATGAAAATAGTCGAGTGCATACCTCAGAGTTCAATGGTGGCTCATATGGATCATCAACACCTGTGAAACCTGCACAGCACAAACCAATACAAGCCGATATCATTGCATGGACCACCAAACGGCTAGTTTTGACAAATGATAAACATAAATATGTTTTTTTCAAGTCTTTTTTATGTATGTATGCATGACAAGTTAAATTCTATAATCCTAGAACGAAGATTGGAAACAGTTGCAGGATGGCCCCAAACCAATGACAAATTAGACAACAAGTCGAATAAAATTACAACAAAAATTAATTCAAAAAGGATCTTCAGTCCAATGAATCCAATTAAGTGTCTTTACCATCATTAAAATGAGAATGCCGCCATAATACTTGCAGATTTAATTATTCTATACACATAAATGATATAACACAAAGGCAAAATAAAATAAAACAGCCAGGTTTTATATAATCCTAGTTGGCACACAAGCTACGAAAACAAACCTTTGATCTTCCCAGATCGTGCAAGCTTGTACAGACCCTTAGGATCCCTTGTCTCGCAGACTTCTAGGGGTACATCCATATACACCTTCATAATATGTCAAAACTTTTTCGTTAAAATATTTTCACCACAAAAGAACATAATTCGGTCTCAAAAACTTTATTTTCCACGTGAACAAATTTGACAGGTGCAGAAAGAGTAAACCTCAATAAAATCTCTTTCCGGAAGTAACTCACGGCACTCATCTCGTTCCTTCCTGAATGGCGATATTAGACTCGCAATGCAAATGACTCCAGCATCCGCAAATAGTTTAGCCACCTCACCTATTTATGGAAGAGAAAAACTGATTGAAAACCGAAATGTAAAACAAAACAGGTCTCACTAGAATGACCAAGTCATAGTTCAGAAAAAAATTCAAAAACTAACCGACCTATCCTTCTTATGTTCTCAGCTCGATCCTCGGCTTTAAAGCTAAGATCACGGTTGAGACCATGCCTGCAATTATCCCCATCAAGGATGTACGTGAGCTTTCCTCTTGCATGTAAGGCACGACTTAAAGCACAAGCCACAGTGCTCTTTCCTGATGAAAGAAATAATAAGTGATGAAGGAACTAATTACATACCACCTCGACACCTGAAAGCCCAAATGGGGGATTATGAAAACAAGACAAAAGAAATAATCGAATGCAAATAGAACAAAAGACGAAGAGTTCTATGACCGAAACGAAAAGGGAGAGGGAAAGACATGGAAATAATCAGTTTAACTCTTTTCCTCTCTCAAAATCTCGAGTTGAAGATGACTTAACCAAATGCAGCAAAAGTCATACTCCCAATTTGTACAGAATAACAACCCACCAAAGTGACAAATATACAAAACCATCAGCAGCAAGTATATTCTGTTATACACAGTAGTGTTTGAATTACAACGGAAACCTATGAACTGACTGAAGTGTCCAGTTCGTACAAGAAGAACTAAAACGAAATAAAAATGACAACTCAAATACGGACAGATTGAAAGCCGAGGCGATTGAAATCTTTTCGCAAGACAAATACGCCCCGTATAGTGCTGACGGGTCTGTGCGTAACGTCCCCAAAGATACAACGGCAATACACTCGGAAGCTGTAGCACACCAGCCTTCAGAGTTCCAGCGAACGGAAACGAAGACGAGAACTGAGCTCTATGATATGATGCATGAGGCTTTGAGAATATTCAGATTGCATGAAGAATGTTATCTGTTTTCTCTGCAACTCAAAGTCCTATTAATAGGAATTCCACATCTAGAGGGAAACCAGCAGTCACATCTGCCACTAAAGGCAGAGATAATGGGCAGAAACGTTTTTCAGGTGTTAACTCACCATTAACCAGGAGTTATCACCATTGGTAATCAACACCATTAACACTCCACACATGAAAGATCAGGTGTTACATTTCACATGAAAGGTCATGTGTCCAGTGTCCAGATTCATTGTACCTGGAGAGGTATCACTCGGGTTGGGTCAAAACCCGAGTCCAAATCCAAATTGGATTTTTCAGTTGGCCTAAAATTGCAAATAAATTTGCAGCAAAAAGATATATAGTGATTGGGCCCAAGGCCCAACCGCCCAAGGCCGCTCAAGTCCAGCCCAAAGTCCAATTGCCAAGGACGGGCCCGAGCCCGAGCCGGCCGGCCGGCGCGCGCCCGCGTGTGGCCGAAAACAACACCAACACTTGGTGCATAGCTTTGTGCTTGTTGTAACCTCTCAAACTCTCTTTATTATAATAAAGAGAGTTAAACTCATTTAAGAGTTCAATGTAGGAGTGACTTTTGACCCTTCAAATCCCACAACCAACGTTTTACGTGCCTTTTATGGCTAACTTTAACAATTTATTTCTCACTCGCCGAAAATCAGTTTTGAGAAAATAAATATACCACGAGTATCTACTCGGAACGTAGAATATTTCTACAATATTTAATTTAACTCAAAATAAATATTTAGCCATAAAAAATTCAGCCAAAACCGGGTCAAACCCAAATTTTATAACTGATTTTTCCAACATATTCATCTGGTTAAAAGTCGTTTACTAGACTCGGAATCAATTTTCTTCACTGCAGTCAGCCGCCTGTAAAGGTAATCATCCAAAATACTAACACTGATTCTCGACAAGCATGGTCCCATTTTTCTACTCAATATTAATGAATCTTCACAATACAGGCTGATAAAGCTGATGGTGAGCAACAAATAGGACATGTAAATATAAAATAAATGAGCACACAGGTACCTGATCCACTTAGCCCGGTGATCCAAACAACACAGCCTTTCTGGTTGAGCAAAGCCTGTCTGTCATCTTTCTCTACAGTACACTTGTGCCAAACGATGTTTGACGAGTTTCCAACAGTAGACATCGTAAGTGTACTTTCCCCTATACGATTATTTATGTTTTTTGTAACAAAAAATGGGTAAAAACCACAATAATAATTAAAATAAAATAATAGTTGCAGTGAAATACTGCGGTGAAATACCTGAAACACCGGTGCACTTGCCGGCGGAACTGCGGCGGGATTGTTTGCCCTGGTGCATCGTCGTTTCAAATGCCTTCATTGGCGCCACGAAGATCGATCTCGCTACGCCACCGGAAATCGCCAATTTCCGGCCTAAGCTGAGAAACACCGCCGTGTTTAACGGCGACGCCTCCGCCCCGGAGCAGTTTAATTCCGATGAATTACACAAATTCAACGCTTTACAACCGGAAGCAGCCATTTTTTTTCTTCAATTCTTCGGATTGCCAATAGCATAATTCAATTTCTCCAACCCAGAAAAGAACCAAAAATTGTCAATGAAGACGAATGGATTTGTAGAGATGAGCCATTAATTTCAATTAACAACAACAGGAGGCAAGCCTCAACGTTTCCATTGTTTGCGGGTGTGAGATGCCGTTACAAAGGAATCCATGGGTGTGCTTATATATGAAAACAAGAATCCAAATAATTTACAATTATAGGTAGATTTTGTCAACTTCCTATCAATCTTTTCACCGATTATTTTTTTTTTTAATTTAAAATAATTTTTATTTCAATATATAAATAATATTCTCACTATTATTAATTTTTATTTATTTATTTATTTTTTTTTTTCAATGTTATTAATATAATACCCAAATTTCATATGGGTGTATTCCTCTTAGTGATATTTTAAGACTTTTGATATTTGAGGATATTGAATTAAAATGGGACTTTTTTTTTTCGGTACAATGAAATAGGCTGAGGCCTAAGTGCTCCTACGCAAGAACTTGCCGAGGGTACGACACCCCGAGTACATCGTGATCAAGTCAGGCGCCTATGCCCAGTGGAGGTGTAGAGACGCGCTGTAAACCCACAGATGAGGTAGACGCTAAGCTTGTCATATGGTCTGCGGCAAAATGGCCTCCTTATGCACATGTTGAAGACGAACCTGCCAATCCCATTGAAGCATACTGCGAATTGCCCGAACAATGGTCTCGTGAGCTCCAAGATGGTCCTCATCCCCAAGAACCATTTTTGTGGCACACTGGCTGTCAACTTCGGCAACCACACGACGAAACCCCAGGTCCCAAGCCCGTTTACCTGTACTCAATTAAAACTTTTCAAGAGTAGTTTCTGTTGTTCAAATTAGGAAGATTTTATGGGACTTTTAAAGAAAATGATTCTTGGAGAAATTTTATATCAAAAATATATTATGAAAAATACAATCTATATATATATATAAAGAATTACTATTTTTTAAAAATGGCAAGTCAAATATGGTTGAGCATTAATTGCATGCTATTAATAGCAAGTTTTTATTTTATTTTTTTATTTACAAATGTGCATCATTAATGTTGCATTTAAATGTGGAGTTTGTTAAGTGAAGTTTGTTACTTATTTTTGCTCAAGATTAGGTTGTTCCTTTTTTATTTTCACAATTTTTTTTTAAAAAAAAATCTTTAACATATAATTGTGTACCACATTACAAATTTTATTTTGTTGAAAAAATAAATTACGCCTAACTTAATAATACGAACTTAAGTTAGTATTACAAAATCAGAAACTTTTTTAACATCAACTAGGCTACTACAATTTTTTTAATCGGATGCCTTTATTTTTAAATATAATAAATTACAGTTCATTTTATAATCAAATATACAATATTTTTATTCTATTCTTTTTATATTTTTTTTATATATAAAAATAACACAAAATTAATCTAATTATAAAATCATCAATATTTTATTTACGCAAGAACGGGTTGTAAAATTTTCATTTTCACAAATTAAAGAATTTTTTTAATAGAAATAAGATTACCAAATTGCATATTTTTTTTTATAAAAAGAAATTACGACTGGTTTAATAATAAAAAAATAACTTTAGTATTTGCAAACAATTTGAAACCTTTTGAACATCAAATCGGCTAACACCATTAAATTAATGAATTCTTTATTTTTTTAAAAAAATATCAATTCCTAAAGTTGCGGTTGATTTAATTTTCAAAAAGAATTTTTTTTTTATAACAGAAAATCGTGAATCACATTGCAGCCTAGATTGGTGGATTTGGTTCCATTAAGTTCTAGAAATTTCGATCAATGAATATAATTTGAAATTCAAATCCTTTCTCATTTTTTATTTAAAAAATTCGATTGTGTTTTTTTATTCCAAACAATCAGATTGCCGAAAAAATTACCTTCTTGAATTGAAAATTTGAAATTCAAAATCTCTTCTCATTTTGGTTGCCATAAAATTGGGTTTAATTCAAAATCTCTTCCTAATATAAAGGATTTTGGTCAATTGAAAAAAAAAATTCTAATCACATGCTTCTATCCTTGGACGAATAACCTTAAATGAAGGATTTTGTGCTACTTTAAAATTAACAAACCTCTTGAAAATTACAAAATTATAATGAATTTCAAAATTTTTGGTTTCATTTTGCACGAAATTCAAAATGGTTTTAAGAATTTCAAATAAATTGAAATTCATCTCTTTAATTTTTTTCCATAAGTTTCAAAAATTTATAATAATTAACTTAAATTACAAATGTAAAGTTTCAAAAATCAAGAGGATAGTTTTGAAAAATAGACAGATTTTTTTATTTCAAAATTGTCAGTCTTCATTCAATATAAAATAAAGCTAATATGTTAGGAGTTTTTAATTGTTTAAACGTACAAATTTTATGTTCTCTTGAACAAGCTAATTTTATATCGTTTATAATAAAATGATATACCATAAATTATATGACATGTTAACCCCACATCGTTAATTTATAATTATTATTTAATATCTTTTACCCTCATCTTTATTTTTTCTTGCTCTTTTAAGAGAAGATTAATTATGGTTCCCCACTTCTTGCATTGGGTGACTCGAACACGATACATATTTATAATAAATATTTAATATTGTTTACCCGTGCATCGCACGGGATACACACTAGTCCTGGTGAAAAGCTCACCAAATTTGTAAGGTTTTGTTGGAAAAATCAGTTGTAAAACTTGGGTTTGACCCGGTTTTGACTGAATTTTTTATGGCTAAATATTTAATTTTAGT